GTTGATGAAAACAGGGGAGTTCTATTTTGTTGCAGTATGACGCCTTGTGATTACGATTGTATGATATTTTATAGCAGGGGTCCTCAAACTATTGCCCAGGGGCCGGATAAGGCCCTCCAAGGTCATTTACCCAGCCCTTGCTCAGGGTCAACCTAAGTCTGAAATGACTTGAAAGCACATAACAACAACATGGGGCATGGGACAGAGACTGTGCTGGTCTCCATCACGGATCACCTTCGATGCCAGCTTGACCAGGGTGGGTCGGCGCTGCTTGTGTTATTGGATCTCACAGCAGCATTTGACACAGTCGACCACAATCTTTTGACCCACCACCTTGCTGCTGTTGGAGTCAGGGGGACAGCTTTAAATTGGCTGTCCTCCTTTCTTCACAACCGTGGACAGCGAGTGGAGAGGGGAGGCCTGGTCTCTGAGAGGTCCCCTCTATCTTGTGGGGTTCCTCAGGGGGCCATTCTCTCCCCTCTGTTGTTTAACATCTATATGCGACCACTTGCTCAGCTGGTTCGAGGTTTTGGGCTTGAGTGTTACCAGTACGCTGATGACACTCAGCTTGTGCTGAAGATGGAAGGCCGACCGGACTCTGTACCCGATTGTTTCCATCAGTGCCTCGAGGCCGTTACTGGATGGCTGCGTGCCAGCAGGTTGAGGGTGAATCCAGCAAAGACGGAGATCCTATGGCTGGGTCAACCAGGCAGTGGTGATATCCAGCTGCCTACCCTGGGTGGCAAGGCGCTACGCCCGTCATCATTGGTAAAGAGTCTGGGAGTCCTTTTGGACCCTCTGCTGACGATGGAGGCCCAGATCTCCGACGTTAGCAGAATCGCTTTTTTTCATCTGCGGCAGGCTAGACGGCTGGCCCCCTACCTGTCCAGGGACAACCTAGCTACGGTGATCCAGGCTACGGTCATCTCAAGACTGGACTACTGTAACGCCCTCTACATTGGCCTTCCTCTGTCGGTGATCCGGAAGCTCAAGTTGGTACAAAATGCAGCTGCTCGGCTTCTTGCAGGAATTCCGATGAGATGCCACATAACACCAATCTTACTGCAGCTGCATTGGTTACCAATTGAGCACTGGATCACTTTCAAAGTGATGGTACTCACCTTTAAGGCCTTGCATGGTCTGGGGCCGATGTACCTGAGGGACCGCCTCACCCCCTACCAACCCCAGAGATTCCTCCGTTCTGAGGACCGAGATTTGTTGGAAATTCCCAGTGTCAAGACCTTGCGTCTAACAGCAACCAGACGCAGAGCCTTTACAGCAGTGGCACCATCACTCTGGAATACTCTGCCACCTGAAGTCTGTGCCTTGCGGGACTTGTCAGCTTTCCGCAGGGCATGTAAGACATATCTATTTCAACGGGCCTTTTATCTCTGATATTGTTGTTTTTAAATTGTTTTTAAATTGTGTTAGATTTTAGCCATTCTTGTAAGCCGCTCCGAGCCCCAGGGGAGTGGCGGCATATAAATTCAAATAATAAAATAGATAAATAAATAAATAAACAACAACAGGCCCACACTTCCCATTGAAATACTAATACGTTTATATTTGTTAAAATTGTTCTTCATTTTAATTAATGTATTGTTTTTAAGTGGTTTTTTTGCACTACAAGTAAGATATGTGCAGTGTGCATAAGAATTCATTCATGTTTTTTTTTTCAAATTATAATCCAGCCCTCCAACAATTTGAGGGACTGTGACCTTGCCCTCTGTTTAAAAAGTTTGAGGACCCCTGCTTTATAGTCTGGCCATTGCTAAAACAATGCTTTGAGTCTAAGTATGAAAAGAAAGGGGGGGGGGGTGTTTAAGGGATTTTGAAATAGTAGCGTCAGCTTGGATGCTATAATATGAAATCTTATTTATTTCCCTATCTTTTTCTAACCTGACTTCTGCTTTCGGAGATCTTTTAAAAACAACATCTCACAAAGCAAGCAAATATGCTTTTTGTCTCTCATTTGAATTTTCTTTTTTGCTTTAAATGATAAGTATCAACTACATGTTTTATCACAGGAATAAATCAGTACACAACAATTCTAAATCTGTCTAAAATTAGATTTAAAAAGGTCAGTGTTCAACCTTGTATTTTAAAAAGCTCTAACATAAAAACAGTTATAAAAGCATAGCTACCTCTCAGTTAATTGCTTGTATGTCATATTTGAGGTTTTAACCTGCTGTTTGAAAAGCAGAATGATTTGGACCTTTCACTTGCTTTTAGAAAGTAATCGCTGAGGTCCTCGACCCCTGTAAGAAAGATCTTCCTTCCTGGATTAATCAGCATTGCTTGTGAAGGCTGCAGACAGAAATGCATGCTTTAATAGAAGGACATTGGTGATTATATGTTTTAATGGTTTTTGTATGGTTTTATAATGTTTTAAATGTTTTAATTGTATTTTGTGGAATGTTATGGCATTGAATTGCTGCCAAGTTGTGAGCAGCCTTGAGTTGCCTTTGGGCTTGAGAAAGGCGGGATAGAAATATTGTAAATAAACAATATTATAAAGCAGAAGGGGCATGTTGACTTGAGTGCAGGCCCGTAGCCAGCCCCCCCCCCCAAATTCTCAGGGTGGTCCGCGAGAAGGCCTTACTGGTACATTATTTAAACTGTTATGTTTATTCATATCATGATCTGATCACCATGCTCAGTATATCCCATATGCATGGGGGTATTGGGATAATGATACAAAAGGTTTGCTGGGATGGATCCTGAGCCCCCCCCCGAATAAAACGCAGCCCCCCCAATCAAACTCAGCCCCCCCCCCCCAATCAAAATCCTGGCTACATGCCTGCTTGAGTGAATCCCAACTTTAAAGCTAGCCGTGTATGTAGAAGTAGATGAATCTTTCTTAACTCATTTTCTAGCTCCCCAGGATGTTTTTTCCACTACATAACTAGCACCTCCCTCCCTTCTCATGTACCTATTGTTTGCTCAGTGGTCATGCCCTTGTATAAGTAGCATTGGAACGTATGTGCAAAGGGGACATAAGCACTTCTATCTTCCTTGCAAGGGAGGGACAGGCCATGAGAAGGAAACTTTGCATTGTTTATCACAAATAGCAATGCCATTTATCACAATGACTAGGACCTGGTGGTAACATGAACCAGCACATTTTGAACCACTTGTAAGGATTTCTGCACTCCATAGTTTATTGGACCTAATTTAAGAACTGAGTCAGAAGAGCACAAATTAGCAATTATTGTTTGTTTTCTCTATTATATAATTTCTAATATTTGCTTCTCCTTCCTATTGAAACAGCTAAGCACATGGAGTAGGAAGCTTCCAGACAATAAAAGAGCTTTTCTTTCACGTAGTCTCACCAAAGGACTGGCTGGATAGCCATATGTTAGGGGTGCTTTGGGGTTGAACTGGATGGTCCATGTGGTCTCTTCCAACTCTACAATCTAAGCTACATGGCTGAACCAATTGTTATTATTATTATTATTATTATTATTATTATTATTATTATTATTATTTCGAGCATTTCTACCCCGCCCTTCTCAACCCCCGAAGGGGGACTCAGGGTGGCTTACAAAAGGCACAATTCGATGCCAGCGATACACATAGTAAGATAAAATACATAGCAGCAACAATTATAAAATAATTAAAACAATCCAGTTATACATTACAACTAATAAAAACCAATCTAGTGATCAACGTTCGCCAAGCTCAAAATCCGTAAGTTCATTCCGCATTGTCATAATCCTATCCAGTTCTAGTCATCATTGTCCTTTGTCTGTCTGCCAGATTACCCAAAGGCCCGGTCCCAAATCCATGTTTTTAGTTTCCTTCTAAAAGAGAGGAGGGATGTCGATGACCTAATTTCCCTGGGAAGCTAATTCCACAGGCAAGGGGCCACCACCAGGAAGGCCCTGCTCCTCGTCCCCACCAACCTCACTTGTGATAGAGGTGGAGCCGAGAGCAGGGCCTCCCCAGAAGATCTTAAACTTTTCTGGGGACGTAGAAGGAGATGCGTTTGGACAGGTATGCTGGGCTGGAGCCGTATAGAGAACCAACAAAACTCATACTCAGTTCCTACCTTTTTCTTTAGATCTGTTGGGAGCAGAGAACAGACATCACCTTCCCATATCTCCAGCATGTACATCCTTATATGAATCTAGAAACATGAGACACTGATTGTCTGGGGCCAAACCCAGCATTGTGCTAATGCAAATTTCTAGCATGGCCCTTTGTTAAAACTCACCAAGGACAAAAAGTCAGTTGCTTCTCACCTTAAATATTCCAGCTCTCCAGGGTTCCCTAAATCTGAAGGCTTGAGATTTTGGATACGGCTCCTCCCCTTTAAAATATTAGTCATCTTTGGATTTCCTAGCTGAATTTACTCTTCAGACCATTTCGCATGTCATTTTGCATCCCCACAATACTTTAAGTGTCAGATGTCACGTGCAATGTGGGTGGTGCCAGGGTAAGGTATGACTGTGTGAAGCTCTGCTGTGTTTGCCATCAAACTTTGCTTCTTCTTTTTTTTCAAATATTTTATTGGTTTTCTTAGAATACATCAATACATCAATACCTTCAATAATCTTATATTCCATCCTCAATTCATTACATCAACCAAAGTGTATATATATCTTGTATACTTTTTTCCCCACCTCTGTGCCCACCCCCCTTCCGAGCCACTTCAATTTGCATTCTCTTTCCAAAATACCATTTCTTCTTGTGAAGGTAATTTCCCGTCTACTTCTTTTAAGCCATTCTCAATAAATTTTCTCCAAACTTTATCAAAATCATTTTCCTTCCATACCCCTTTCCTGACTCTTAACCTACATGTCAATTTACCATTTATTGCTATTTTCCATAATTCTTTATACCATTCTTCAATTGATATGTTTATTTTACCTTTCCAATTCTTCACTATCAGTAATCTTGCTGCAGTTAAACTTTGCTTCTGTATAATGTGTGAAATGTCCCTTAATGGCTGCACCAACACATGTTCTTCTAACCAGTCTCCTTTTTCTCTTTTTCAGCTGGTATGGGGAACTTACCAACTGTACTTTCCTGGTAGCTGCAAAACTGGACTGTTACTGGCCAAACCAGCTGGTGGACGAGTTCTTTGTGGCAATTCACAAGCACTACTTCAAAAACTGCGCTGTCTCGGGAAGGGCTTTGAGAGATCCTCCGAACTCCATTTTGTGCCCCTTTATTGTGGTGCCCATTTTTGTCACTCTGCTTATGACGGCACTGGTTGTATGGCGGAGCAAACGCAGTGAAGGCATTGTCTAGATGTCTTCAACACTTGGTATGCCATGGCAAGATCTGCATCTGTTTGTAAAGAAGTACCCCAAAATCTCCAGCCTTCAGTTTCAGGGAACCCCAGGGAGTTGGAATTGGACACTAGGTGATCTGTAGTGAGGAACAGTTTTGTTACTCTTCCTGTGGAGATGCTGACAGCAAAAAAGACAGTCTTTCTGTATACTGTCCAATAATAGATTGCATCTTGAAAAAGAGACGATAACCATCAATATTCTCTGGATAATAACTGTGTTGTGGAAGCTAAGAAATGCACCAGGGACTAAACCGCACTTCTATATATCTGAAGCCCTCTTATGCAGCCATCGTTTAGTCATGCTGGACAGATATCTTCTCTAGGTTCTCTCTTTCCATTCTTCAAATTGCTTTCCCCTTTTGGTTGCCTCTGGTTGTCTCTTAATGTTGTTCTGCTGTCCTTTTGTCTGTACTCAGCCATACACATTTCCTTTGTGACAGTAGGCCGTTCCTTTGCTGGATTTACATTATAGGTCTAAACGTAGTTATAAGGCCTGACTAGAGTAAGTCTGTTGAATCAATGATATTGCAGAAGCAGTGTGACTTGCCAAATTTCTATTGATTTAATAGATACTTTAGTTGGAACTAAAGAGCTCTGCACTGTTTAGAAGTGTGTCTTGCCTCAGATCTGTTTTGTGACACGGGTCAGCATAATAAATAATTTATTTAACAAAAGTGAATGCAAGTTGCAGTATGCATTTTAGTATTATTTTGTGAAGGAAAGAAGGGATTAGCAGAGCAATAATTTCCAGATTTTTGCCTAAACAAGCATAAGGTACATAAGGTGAACAAAAAACTAATTTTTCATACTGTACGTGTGTGCAGAAGGGAGGAAAGAATTGAGGTACTAATTTGGGTATGTTCACACTGTGTTGTAATTGACTTTTTTTTTGTAATAGATTCAGGTGCAAATCACACAAAGATAGTTGTGCAGACATTGACTGACTGACAAGGGAGCAGGGCGTGGAGGAAAGAACTAATATATTGCTGTGTATGTATTTTGCTGAATATTAACCACACAATGTATTTTTGTGAGATACTATTCTATAAGCTTATTTTAAATTAAAACATAACTTGAGAAATTGGCATTGACTGTTTCTGAATGTCAGTTATGATGAATGAAATGCCTGACTATGTGATCTAGCACGGGTTGTAACAGCAAATGGCAGGTGACTGGTAAAGTATTTTGCATCCCTACCAAAAGGCTTTTAAATAAAGTAGTCGTGGATTGTAGCTATCTTCTGTGAAGTGATGCTCATACACAGCAGGGCATCTCTTCCGCATCCTTTTCTGTGTACATGCATAAGCAAGCTTATTTAAAACACATAATGAAATCAAATGTCAAATTACAATTTTATTGTTCTTTTAAATAGCTGAATTCAGGCTCTGTATTTGAGAAAGACTTGCTGTTGCTGTAGCAACAGATACCAACATTTTCATTTAATATTAGAAGGCAACCAAACATAGAAGAGCTGGAAAAGTAAAGCTGCTTTGAACATTACTCTTTTTTTTAAATAAAACAAAACATTTCATTATATAGTTTTCTCCTTTCACTCAAGCAATGACAGCTCATATGCTCTCACAGGGAGAGGACATTCTTAAGTCTTGGAATTTTACTCTATTTACATGGGGAAATGATCAGATTCTCAGTTAGTCTTTCTAGTGATTTGTTATTTAATTTATACACACATACACACATATACACTCACATCAGGGATAAATACCTGGATTTCAGTAAGGCCTTCGACAAGGTCCCCCATGACCTTCTGGCAAACAAACTAGTCCAATGTGGGCTAGGCAAAACTACGGTGAGGTGGATCAGTAATTGGTTAAATGGACGAACCCAGAGGGTGGTTCTCCCCAATGCTTCCTCTTCATCCTGGAAAGAAGTGACGAGTGGAGTGCCACAAGCAGGGCTCCGTCCTGGGCCCGGTCTTGTTCAACATATTTATTAATTACTTAGATGAAGGGTTAGAAGGCATAATCATCAAGTTTGCAGACGACACCAAATTGGGAGGGATAGCCAATACTCCAGAGGACAGGAGCAGAATTCAAAACGATCTTGACAGATTAGAGAGATGGGCCAAAGCTAATAAAATGAAGCTCAACAGGGACAAATGCAAGATACTCCACTTAGGCAGAAAAAACGAAATGCAAAGATACAGAATAGGGGACAATGCCTGGCTTGAGAGCAGTACGTGTGAAATAGATCTTGGAGTCCTTCTGGACAACAAGTTAAACATGAGCCAACAATGTGATGTGGCGGCAAAAAAAGCCAATGGGATTTTGGCCTGCATCAATAGGAGCATAGTGTCTAGCTCTAGGGAAGTAATGCTACCCTCTATTCTGCTTTGGTTAGACCACACCTGGAATATTGTGTCCAATTCTGGGCACCACAATTCAAGAGAGATATTGACAAGCTGGAATGTGTCCAGAGGAGGCGACTAAAATGATCAAGGGTCTGGAGAACAAGCGCTATGAGGAGCGGCTTAAGGAGCTGGGCATGTTTAGCCTGAAGAAGAGAAGGCTGAGAGGAGATATGATAGCCATGTATAAATATGTGAGAGGAAGCCACAGGGAGGAGGGAGCAAGCTTGTTTTCTACTTCTTTGGAGACTAGGATGCGGAACAATGGCTTCAAACTACAACAAGAGGAGATTCCATCTGAACATGAGGAAGAACTTCCTGACTGTGAGAGCCGTTCAGCAGTGGAACTCTCTGCCCCGGAGTGTGGTGGAGGCTCCTTCTTTGGAAGCTTTTACACAGAGGCTGGATGGCCATCTGTCAGGGGTGCTTTGAATGCAAGCAGTATCTGTCCGAACGCATCTCCCTTTACGTCCCATCTCGGAGTCTGAGATCCTCTGGGGAGGCCCTGCTCTCGACCCCGCCTCTGTCACAAGTGAGATTGGCGGGGATGAGGAGCAGGGCCTTCTCGGTGGTGGCCCCTCACCTGTGGAATTCACTCCCCGGGGAGATCAGATCAGCAACACCCCTCCTTTCATTCAGAAAGAAATTAAAGACGTGGATGTGGGACCAGGCATTTGGGCAATCTGGCAGATGAATAAGGGACTGTGACGATGGATAGGAATTGGACAAGGTGGAACGAAATATGAACTCTGAGTTGGCGAACGCTGTGTCTGAGATTGGCTATTGATTGTGTGATATATTGTTGTTTTTAATTGTTTTAATTGTTGACCATTTAATTGCTGGTTTTATATGTTATTGTATTTGTGTAGGCACCAAGATGTGCCTTTTGTAAGCCGCCCTGAGTCCCCCCTCGGGGGTTGAGAAGGGCGGGTAGAAGTACACGAAATAAATGAATAAATATTCCTGCTTCTTGGCAGGGGGTTGGACTGGATGGCCCATGAGGTCTCTTCCAACTCTTTGATTCTATGAAATATAGATTTTCCAGTGTCTACATACATTACTGTCAATATTTTATATTACATGTAAGACAACATTACACTACAGTCTATGACAACTCAATTCACTGCTCCTTTGCTAGCTGATCATTAGTTATAGTTAGGCTGGTTTTATGCCCAAACTTAGCTAATTCCTCTGCTCTCACTGACACACACACATACACCTATTCTACCATATATAAAACTCTCTATATATTATGCTGTATAAGCACACCATTTACTTTTCAGAAACTATAACCCAAATATCTAAGCCATTTTTGTCCAGTTATTAGCTCATTTTCTATCTAGCAATGTGTTATCCTCAGGTGAATACTGTTCTTGACAAGCTGGAATGTGTCCAGAGGAAGGCCACTAAAATGATCAAGGGTCTGGAATATTGTGTCCAGTTCTGGGCACCACAATTCAAGAGAGATATTGACAAGCTGGAATGTGTCCAGAGGAGGGCAACCAAAATGATCAAGGGTCTGAGGAAAAAGCCCTATGAGGAGCGGCTTAAGGAGCTGGGCATGTTTAGCCTGAAGAAGAGAAGGCTGAGAGGAGATATGATAGCCATGTATAAATATGTGAGAGGAAGTCACAGGGAGGAGGGAGCAAGCTTGTTCTCTGCTTCTTTGGAGACTAGGATGCGGAACAATGGCTTCAAATTACAACAAAGGAGGTTCCATCTGAACATGAGGAAGAACTTCCTGACTGAGAGCTGTTCAGCAGTGGAACTCTCTGCCCCGGAGTGTGGTGGAGGCTCCTTCTTTGGAAGCTTTTAAACAGAGGCTGGATGGCCATCTGTCGGGGGTGATTTGAATGCAATATTCCTGCTTCTTGGCAGGGGGTTGGACTGGATGGCCCATGAGGTCTCTTCCAACTCTTTGATTCTTTGATTCTATGATTCTTACCTTTCAATAACTGAAAACAGGGTAAATGCAAGACACGCGTATGAGGAACAGATCATAATATGACAATCGATATCTTTCAGCACTGCAAGAATATGTCAAATCTAGCTTAAACATTTGTGTTCAATTTAGGTAAGCCAGAATCAACAGTATATTTGAAGAGATGTTAGGGGCACAGCAGAAGATGAGAAATAAAGAGTTGGAAGAGACCTCATGGGCCATCCAGTCCAACCCCCTGCCAAGAAGCAGGAATAGTCTCCAAGGAAGCAGAAAACAAGCTTGCTTCCTCCTCCCTGTGGCTTCCTCTCACATTTTTATACATGGCTATCATATCTCCTCTCAGCCTTCTCTTCTTCAGGCTAAACATGCCCAGCTCCATAAGCCGCTCCTCATAGGGCTTGTTCTCCAGACCCTTGATAATTTTAGTCGCCCTCCTCTGGACACATTCCAGCTTGTCAATATCTCTCTTGAACTCTGGTGCCCAGAATTGGACACAATATTCCAGGTGTGGTCTAAACAAAGTGGAATAGAGGGGTAGCATGACTTCCCTAGATCTAGACACTATGCTCCTATTGATGCAGGCGAAAATCCCATTGGCTTTTTTTGCCGCCACATCACATTGTTGGTTCATGTTTAACTTGTTGTCCACGAGGACTCCAAGATCTTTTTCACACGTACTGCTCTCGAGCCAGGCATTGTCCCCCATTCTATATCTTTGCATTTCGTTTTTCCTGCCAAAGTGGAGTATTTTGCATTTGTCACTGTTGAACTTCGTTTTGTTAGTTGTGGCCCATCTCCCTAATCTGTCAAGATTGTTTTGAATCCTGCTCCTGTCCTCTGGAGTATTGGCTATCCCTCCCAATTTGGTGTCGTCTGCAAACTTGATGATCATGCCTTCTAACCCTTCATCTAAGTCATTAATAAAGGTGTTGAACAGGACCGGGCCCAGGACGGAGCCCTGCTTGTGGCACTCCACTCGTCACTTCTTTCCAGGATGAAGAGGAAGCATTGGGGAGAATCACCCTCTGGGTTCGTCCATTTAACCAATTACAGATCCACCTCACCGTAGTTTTGCCTAGCCCACATTGGACTAGTTTCCTTGCCAGAAGGCCATCTATCTATCTATCTATCTATCTATCTATCTATCTATCTATCTATCTATCTATCCAATTAACATAGGCTGCTGTAAAAATGCAGCTACGCGTGGCATGAGGAAGCAAAGACAGATGTCATTTTAACCTACTAGTCTTTTGGTACAAACAGAAGCAAATCAGTGAGCTTGGCAGTGAATAGACAACAAAATGTAATTGGACAGCAATTGGTAGGCACAATGGTATGCAAATGATTATGCACTCTGTAATTTTGGATGCTGCTGGTGAGTTCTCAGATAAAAGAGTATAAGAAAGAGAATAAGGAGGCAGATTAGTGGATGGCAGGATTGACAGGTTAATACCATAGGATTTCAAAGACAAAACATCTTTTGATGTTCACCCTTGGCGATGTTATTAAGTATGATGCTAAAGCAAATTGTCAGAGCTTGCCATTCAAATAAAAAACATTTCAAAACCCAACAAAGAGAAATATATATGTAAAGGCCTACTTCATGGCAGTGCTGTCACCCTGAGATTCCTCTCCTTTCCCTGAGAAGTGGAGAAACTTACCCAAACCCCAAGATCTAGGAACCCCTGAGCATGAAGCCTGTTGTCACCAGTTGTGGAAAGGCTAGATAGAAGGTGACAGCTGGTTATTCTAGTCAAGAGCATGGCCAAAATCTCTC